AAAACTTGAAATATTTGTTATTATTTTGGTTTGTTGTTATGCCGAAATTCAACTATGCAAAATCTGAGTTGTTGTGTTTGCGGCGATTTTGCGCTGAAAGTTTGCRGGCGAATTTCAAAATTACAACAGATTTTGCCTTATTCTCCTATAAAGAGCCGTCTACTGAGCTCATCTCTAAAATGATCTAAAAGTTTATGAAATGATTCTTTAGCATTATTCTCTAGGATCGATAAATGACCTCAAAAATCGCCGCAAAAATCGCTAGTGTAAACGMGCTTATCCTTGGTCTTTTTATTTTAACATATCTTATTTTTTTGGTCTATMTTTGAACATTTCGTCAATCGTTGTAAAACATATGTTTTTTAAGGTCTTTATCATACGGATCAAATTGCAAATGTGTTGGCAAGCTGATAAGGCCTAAATTTACGTTCACGTTTATCGCATTTCCATGAACAAAAGGCAAAAGTACATATGTCGAAAACTAAAAGTGAAGACAAAAACAAATAAGCAATATAATATACTGCATCACTTCAATKATGACTTTTTTGTGGACGTTTTAGTCGAAACCAAACACCACCCTTCGATTTACTGAAGGTGTGTCATTCTTGCTTATCATTTAAAGTAAATCGTSATGACAGCATGCATTTTTTTCAATATTTTCTCAGATGTTACCCATRGACCCWAATTTTCATCATCGCGTAATGTGTGAATGGAAGAATCACATAGCAATTTCAGGAAAAAAAGAGATATTTCTTTCCTTTTCACKGAACAATATTCATAATATTACTCCCCACATTGAAGGGAAATTCTTCACGATTTTGTATATAACATCATAATCATTTTTTCTGTGAGTCAAAAGGCTCATAAGTTTTCTCAATTTTCATGATCACTGATACATACCTGAAAAACGTGAAGCAAACTGGAGTACAAGAATAACTAYAAGGAAGTGATTCCAAACTTGCTCGTCCTTTTAATGCTTACAATCGACTTCCTATCCTAGATATCCATTAAAAAGCACGACAAATGTTAGAAACATAAGCAAACACAAGCCACCAAGTTTGCATAGCTGAATTCAACTTTTATGAGTATGATGTCATTACTTAGAGGTCCAACATTCAATGCAGTCGTGTTTTAGATTTTTCATATATGGAAAATGAGGAGATTTCATATATCCGTTCGCAATCCGTTTCCATCCATCGGTTTAAAGATCGCAACTTAGAGTATCTCCATTCATATAGTTTAAAGGGATAATAAAGAGTAMGTTTTGGCTTATATTACGATGTATTTTTATATTCAAACATAAATAAAAACTACTAAAKCGACTGCCTTTTCAAAATTAAATCGAAATGCAATTATCTTTGGATAATGAAACCCATTCTACGTTAATTGACATTAAAACTTTTCTTTCTCTTGATTCGTTTTAGTCTTGAGCGGTTATATTAACGTTATTCCATTGCTGACATTTTTTATTAACGCGTGCCCGTGACGTGGTTTGAAAGATAAATAATAATTATGATCTTGGCATTAATCATATCTAAATTGACATTGAATGATTTTCGTTAATATGTTTTTATGGTTTGTCGTAGGAAGGCTATGATTAATCGATCCATTGGACTCATGTTCTATTAATTTGCGGTTTCTGATCAACGATAGCCAATTTAAGTTTGATAGCTTTGGTGTCAGCCTAAATTAACATTGAACGTTTTTTCCTTTTTTTTTAACTTGGTAATACTTGGCAATTCTGTTACATTTACAATTCAGCTTCACACTGTTTTTTCTCA